AGAAAAAAAGCAATGAGAAAGAAAAACAGCTAATGTCTGAAATTGAAAATCTGGAAAAAGACTATGATAAAAATATCCAAACAATTAATGATAAGAAAAAGGAATTGGAAAATATTAGAGACCACAAACTTATGGGAAATATTATAAGGTCTAGAGTAAAATGGATGAATGAAGGAGAAAAACCAACTAATTACTTTCTCAACCTTGAGAACAGACACTATACAAATAAAATAATCCCTAAATTGATTAAAGATGAATCAATAGATTCGGAAGTAACAAATCAGAAAGACATTCTTCTGGAAATTGAAAAATATTATAAAATACTCTATGAGGCTAATTCTGCGGTAACAGATGTTGATTTAAGTGATCATACTTGGGATATTTCTGCAGAAAAACTTACTGATACACAAAAGAATAGTCTTGAAGGGGAAATATCTTTGAATGAAGCATTACTAGTTTTGAAAAATATGTCAAATGATAAAAGTCCTGGAAGCGATGGCTTTACAACAGAATTCTTCAAAGTGTTTTGGAAACAGCTAGGTAATTTCATAGTAAGATCAATAAATTATGGTTATAAAAAAGGAGAGCTTTCTGTAACACAAAAACAGGGAATTATCACTTGTATACCTAAAGAAGGAAAAAGTAAATTTTTTATAAAAAATTGGCGCCCAATATCTTTACTAAATGTTGTCTATAAAATAGGTTCTGGCTGTATAGCAAGTCGAATGAAAAATATCTTGAACACAATCATAAGTTCAGACCAGACAGGTTTTGTACCCGGAAGATACATAGGTGAAAATACTAGATTAATTTATGATTTAATGCATTATACAGAAGAAAGAAATATCCCTGGATTGTTGTTAATGATTGATTTTGAAAAAGCTTTTGACACAGTGTCATGGAATTTTATTGATAAAGCCCTTACATTCTTTAATTTTGGGCCTTCTCTAAGAAGATGGATTTCAGTATTTCAATGTAATATTGTATCAGCTATCAATCAAGCAGGTCATTTATCCAATTTTTTTAAACTAGGCCGTGGCTGTCGTCAGGGTGATCCAATTTCACCATATTTATTTTTACTATGTGCAGAAATTTTAGCTTTAAAAATAAAAAATAACAAAAAAATTAAAGGTATTAAAATTGATGAGGAGGAATATTTAATGTCTCAATATGCGGATGATACGCTAGTTATACTAGATGGAACAGAACAATCCCTAAGAAACTGTATTGAAGAAATAAATAAATTTTATAAATTATCAGGACTTAAAATTAATCTCTCTAAGACACAAATAGTATGGATAGGAAGCAAAAAGTATTCAAATGAAAGATTACTTAATGAAATGAATTTCCAGTGGACAACACAATTTAAAGTATTAGGTATTTATTTTGACGTGGACTTAACTAGAATTCCAAAACTTAATTATGACAAAAAATTGGTTAAAATTAAGAATATAATACTACAATGGAGTAAAAGACGTACAACTCCCTTGGGTAGGATTTCACTTATTAAATCACTACTAATAGCACAGTTAAACCATCTCTTTATTGCTTTACCTTCACCTTCTGAATGTTTTGTTAAAAATCTAAATAATGTTATGTTTAATTTTCTATGGAGATCTAAAGTGGACAAGATAAAAAGAAAACAAATTACTCAAGAGTATAAGAGTGGTGGATTGAATATGATCGATATAAATAACTACATTAAGGGCTTAAAATCATCTTGGATTAAAAGACTATTCAATGGCCAGGATTCAAAATGGAGATCACTTATTCAAAAAGCCTTTAATATTGAAAAATTATTTAATACTGGCTCAAATTATATTGAACTAATTTTACAAAGTATAACTAATAATTTTTGGAAAGATACATTAATTGCCTTCAAGAACATAGAAGACAAAATGAAAATAGATTCCTGGGAAGATTTCATCTCTCAACCATTATGGCACAATAAAAAACTCAAAATTGACAATAAGCCCATTTTTTACTCTAAATGGTTTATCAATGGTGTAATATTTATTTCAGATTTGTTAGATGAACAGGGAACTTTTCTAAAATTAGAAGAACTTCAAGCAAAATTTAATATAGAAACCAATTTTTTAACCTATGCGAGTCTACAGAAAGTTATAAAAGTAGCTATGGCTGTAGAAAAAGTAAACAAAGAAAGGTCAAACCCAAAGCCCATTCTACCTTTTTATTTAAAATTATTCTGTTTAGCTAAAAAAGGAACAAAACCTATGTATAATATTTTGAATACAGAACATGTAGTACCTTTCTCAAAAGTGAAATGGAGTAAACATTTTGAAATTCAAGATTCCCTATGGGAAATGCTATACAAAATTCCTTTCCAATGTACAAAAAGTTCTAAATTACAATGGCTACAATTCAGAATAAATCAACATATCTTAGTTACAAATAAAATTTTATATAAAATGGGTTTGAAAGATACTAAATTGTGTAGCTTCTGTCAGACATGTGAGGAAACAATTTTTCATATTATGTGGGAATGCCAGAAGGTTCAAGAACTTATAAATAGTTTTACCATTCTTTGCGAAGCTCATAATATAGAATTTCCAATAGATAGTTGTACATTCATACTTGGAAACCCAATACCCAATAGTAAAGAATTAAATACAATACTGTTATGTATTAAATCATTTATATACAGAACTAAATGTCGTAATGAGGTTTTGAGATTACAAGGATTACGTGGAGATGTTAAAACATTACTATCTACCATGAAATATAGCGCAACAAAAAGTAATCAAATTAAAGAGTTTAATAATAAATGGAAAAATTGGCTTTCACTTATGTAAGACCCTGCAAATAGGCACTTAAAGATATTTTGCACAATCCTTGGACATACTCTTACCAGTACTTTAATGAACAGACATTTATCTTTGATCATGCTCTTTTTTTACCATTCTCAACCCCCTCCCCTCTCCTTCTTTCTTTCTCTCTCTCTCTCTATCTCTCAGTTGTCACAATTATAATTTTTTTTTGTTTATTTGTTTATTATATTCATTAATGATATAATGTTGTAATCCAGATTATAGACATGTATGTGACAATTGGTATTAATAAAAAAAAAAAAAAAAAAAAAAAAATTTACAATAAATACATAATTAACCTGTAAAAGATTTAAATTAGCTGGAAAGGATTAAAAAGAGAAATGTTTTGTCTGTAATCTTGATTTCTGGCCAGAGTTGGTATTTGTCATGTGAAGCCAGTTTAGCTGTATGAACAGTGTAACCACTGGACCCAGAACAGCTTTACTTCAGAAGAAGTTCTTATATATGGTGGACATTTTATTCATCACTTTCAATATAAACATGTATACCTGTTGAAAAGATTCTGTAAATCTTTTGCTGTATTTCGGCATAGTATACTTAATATATAAAGCCATTAGAACACTATGCAGAGATGGGTATTTATATATAGAGAGAGACAAACTGACAGGAAGCATAATAAGAAATAGCTACAGATGGACCTATATGCTATATGTAACGGGATTCATACACATATAAATATTATTTTTATTAATTTTATGCCCTGTAATCGAAGATTTGTGGGCCTGTACTTTTTGCACTGTCCGTCCGTCTGTCTGTCTAGCTGTTTGTCCGCGTAAACTTTAACCTTTCCGGGGCTTACCCATAACTTCTGATTCAATGGAGCTATGGCTTTCATGTTTCACATGTTATTCTTTGTGGAAAGACTTTTCTTCGGATACATACATTTTCCCTCTTGACCTTGGAGATTGACCCACTTTTGCAAAATTTTACCAAACTTTAACTTTCAAAAAGCCCTTAACTTTTGAACGGTTGGGGTTAGGGCTTTCATACTTCAAATGTGTATTTCTTTCCCTGGGTACAACTATTTTTGACCTTTTGACCTCCTTGGAGTTTGACCCACAAACTTTAACCTTGGTCATAACTTTTGAACGGTTAGTGCTAAGACTTTCGTGTTTTGCATGTGTATTCCTTATGACAAAACCTTTCCTTGAATCTATTTTTTTTTAAACTTTTGACTCTAGAGTTTGATACACTTTTAAAAAAACTTTAACCTTGGCCTTAACTTTAGAACGGTTATTATTAAGGCTTTCATATTTCACAGGTATATTTCTTGTGACAAGACCTATCTTTGGGTACTCATAATATTGACCCTTTGACCTTGACCTTTGAGTTCGAAAAACTCTTTTGAAAAACTTTAACCTTGACCATAACTTTTGAACAGATATAGCTAGGGCTTTCAGATTTCACAGATGTATTCCTTGTTACAAAACCTTTCCTTTGGTACCAAAAATTTTGACCCTTTGACTTTGACCTTGGAGTTTGACGTACTTTTGAAAAACGTTAACCTTGGCCATAACTTCTGAACAGTTGATGTTGGGGCTTTCATATTTTACGAGTATATTCCTTGTGACAAGACCTTTCTTTTGGTATCAATTGTTTTGACCTCTTGACCTTGGAGTTTGACTTGCATTTATTTGTTTGTTTCTTTGTATGTTGTTTAACGTCCCTCTCGAGATTTTTTCACTCATATGGAGACGCCATATTGAGAAACATTACTATTACCTTTGCCATGAGCTGCCATACGGGGGCATCAGTGTTCCCTAAACACATCTTGTCTTTATAGTGAAGAACCTTGTCATTGTATTCTTCCTTGTCATTATTGAAAAAGATGTTTTTTTCTGACTTATCATCCATTTGCAATATGTGGGGTTCTTCTTTGCTCTATTTCATTGAAAAAAATACTTGATGAAATCGTAGATTTGACCTAAAATATACAAGTAGTTATAACATTGTAGATTTTACTGTTAGCTAAGATCCATTGTACAGTAAAAATACAATTCTCTGAAAAGGAAAGAATCGTATGTTTTGTTACAAGAATAAAAATCGAGTCGAAATTTATATATTCCACGTCAAAGCAATGGGAAAATCAGTTTTGAGTAATCATACGTACACAATTTAAGATAATAATTCTTTACTGGTTTGTTTCTACAGCCAAGAACGCTGGATATGTACAAAATGAACAGCCACAAAACCGTAAGTGATGCGATACTATATCATATAATAATTATATGTATCTTTTTTTCTAATTGCTTCCTTCAAAAGGGGTTGAAAACTTGCAGCGTAAATCCTGTTTCCATTTTTAGCATACAATGCGGGGTACAACCAACCCCCCGCGTATGGACAACAGCAACCTGCGGGTTATGGATTCCCGATGACGACAAACTCCTCTACAAATGTTGTTGTAAGTGTGGTCATGACAAAAGACTTGAAAGTTCAATTTTGTTGAATCCCAGTTTATTTAAAAAAAACATCAAATTTTCACCCCAATTTAAAATATAATATTTAACTTTATTGGAGAGCATTTTATAACGAAATACAGTACATTGCAAGTATACATATAAATTTACGAGATAAAATTCTTGTTATAAAGATTGATCATATTTTCACTCTGTAGGTCACCAATGCCCCTGCACCCATCGTGGTTGCTGCACCAAGAGGAAACGACTGGCTGGTGCCCGCCATTCTCTCCTGCTTCTTCTGTTTCTGGCCTACTGGGATCTGCGCTATTGTGGCGGCTGTCAATGTATGATGTTTATCTTTTACATATAGACATAAGATTTAAAGCGACATACATTTTATATCACCCAATGCGTCAACAATTAACACATAGTAGAAGCCACAGTATACAGAAACACAAGGGTTTCATATTTCACACCTTAGTATGCCAACTTTTATGGTAACAACTGCACGTAGTTTCGATTGTACGATCATATATACCTAATCACCTCAAGATCTATATAGAATGATTTTCAAAATATTGTACAAATGTCGAAGAATCGGTTTTACATTAATATTATCACTGATATTTCATAATTATGAATATTCACAAGTAAGAAATGAGAAGTTTACCTTTCATTTCATGGCTTTGTACATACATGGAGAGGATGTTCGAGAATAAAATCATAAAGCAGAGGTTTCAATTAGAAAGTTAACTCTTTCAAATGAAATCATCTCTGAAGGAACAATAGCTAGCATATCGACATATTACTCCAGCTGGTATATTCACAGTCACTATATTTTAATTACTTGTTCAGGCAAGGGCCCGTTTCGATGTCGGTGACTACGAAGGTGGGCGATCCAGTGCCAGCTGGGCTAAAGGGTTGACCTTGACCTCGCTTGGAGTCGGCATCCTCTCTGTTATCATCATTATAATCCTCTACGTGGTTGTGTTGAAAGAAGCCGAAAATGAATTACACGGCTTTACAACACAGAAACCGTGGAACTGGAACTAACAACAAAAAACATCAACAATAACAACAAAAACCGTTGCCAAGGAATTTATCCTGATTGTTTTATTGGATTATTACTTGTACGAATATATCAAATACGTAGTTCTGTACTGAGTATATGCACTTTAATTCATTTGTCCCAAAATGTAAAAGTTAATTGTAAATAGTGTAAACCTTTCATAGACAAATCAATGTTCGTTGTTTCTTTTCGTTTGTAGATATATGTTAGTTTGCGTTGTGTCTTTAATCAGTCATGTGTTTGTTTGCACAGGAATGGTTTCATCTTGTCCCAGAAACATTTTATCTTGATCACTGCATTTTTTTTAAAATTTCAAATTCATCGTAATAGTCTCAAAATCACTAACAATTTTTTTTTCTTTTCGTTCATTACTAAAATTTTTGTACTAAATATAAATAAAGGTTTTAAACCATGTTGTGGTGTTATAGATACTATGTAGCTGCTGATTAAAATGGTAAACACGAGAAGGGGAACTTTATAAGTAAATTTTAATTTATTTAACATATTTCTTACTTTACAATCTAAAAATAGTAAATTAGAAATTTATCTGATTTGAAGAAACATATTATCCCATAATCAAGGGCATACATGTATAAGGTGAAGCTTGCTACTGAATTCTAATATTCTAACTGTTATGTAATTTTGTTACCAGTGCAAGTTTTTAAGTTCAATGACGACAGGTTTTTGCACATGACTAGCGATGTCTAATTATACAAGCCCTTTGTAGGATCTTAAGAGTCATACAAACACCACGTTTGGTGGATGAATGTGTCATTTATTTGAAGTGAATAATGACGACAGATAATTAAAAAATAGGCCTCGGCTCAGGTGAGCTAAAAGGCAGTAGACGAAATGCCAGAATAACCAAGTATAAAAGAGAGCAAATATGGTTGCATTGTACAACATTTTGGTTGTGGTATGGAATAACATAATTAAAATAACAGGGGTGGAATACATAACAGGTTTGGTTGCATTTTGGCGGACAATACTTGGAAAACCCCACTTAGTACGCTAGTGATGAATTCTCATTAGCATTTGGATTTCCACACCATCATATAGTGTATCAACCATGGATAGGCAATACTTCTGTTACATTAAAAGTTTGTATCTAAATCTGACGCCTTAACTTATCTATAGCTTATATACATGTATAAGTTTAAACTGAAGATTTAAACTTTTAATGTAACACTTGTATCTTGCAACATTTTTATACGTGTTTTATGGATTCCCATCAATTTGAGAGAATGTCCCAAATTCACCTTAACATATGGGTGAAAAAAAATACCACCAAATTGAAGTTTTTTGAAAAAACTCAACGAATCATAGCACATTTTTCACTTACATCATCATACTGTACATGTACATGGATTTTAGTTAAAATTCCTGAAGTGGCAATAGATTAGCAACTGCATAAAAAGGTTTCAGAATTTTTATGAGTTAAACTTTATTTGATTGAGTTTCTTTTCTTGTATATGTGAAAAAATTGGCTTTTTAGCTCACCTCGACGAAGTCGTGATGAATTTATGCTATACCCCCGGCGTCGGAGTTCCGGTTAAAGTTTTAGGAGCAAGTTCATTGCCAAGTAATTATAAGCCCTACATGGACCAAACTTGCATGGATGATGCATCTAGGGATGGATACCACATTTGCTTTGGATGCTGGATCTGACCTAAATTTTCCAGATGAGTGACAAGGTTAAAGTTTATGGAGCAGGTCCATTGCCAAGTATCCATAAGCACTACCTGGATCAAACTTGTATGTATGATGCATCTAGGGATTGACACTATCACAGTTGCTGTGTGACCGGGTTAAAGTTTTTGGAGTAGGTACATTCCCAAGTAACTATAAGCCCTATCTGGACCAAACTTGCATGGATCATACATCGAGGGATGGACACTACCAAACTTGTTTCAGATGCTGGATCTGACCTAATTTTCCAAATGAGTGACCAGGTTAAAGTTTTTCGAGCAGTAACTAAACTATAAGCCCTACCTGGACCAAACTTGCATGGATGATGCATCTAGGGATCGATAAGCACTATCACACTTGCTTCAAATGCTGGATCTGTTTTTAGAGCAGGTCCATTTCAAAGTATCCATAAGTCCTATCTGGACCAAACTTGTATGTGTGATGCATCTAGGGAGGTACACTATCTCAGTTGCTTCGGATGCTGAATCTGACCTAGATTTTCCAGATGAGTGAGCAGGTTAAAGTTTCTGGAGCAGGTGCATTCCCAAGTAACTATAAGCACTACATGTACCTGGACCAAACTAGCATGGATGATGCATCTAGGGATCGATGGGCACTATCACACTTGCTTCAGATGCTGGAGCTGTTTTTACAGCAGGTCCATGCCCAAGTATCCATAAGCCCTATCTGGACCAAACTTATATGTGTGATGCATCTAGGGATGTACACTATCACATTTGCTTCGGATGCTGAATTTGACCTACATTTTCCAGATGAGTGACCAGGTTAAAGTTTTTGGAGAAGGTCCATTCCCAAGTAACTATAAGCCCTACCTGTACCAAACTTGCATGGATGGTGCATCAAGGCATGTGCATTAACTAACCTGCTTTAGATGCTGGACCTGAACTACATTTTCCGCATGAGTGAATTTGAGACATATTTTAACTAAATTAGCAAGGATGATGTATCTCGGGATTGATACTTCAAGACTTGCTTTGAATTCTGAATCTGACCTACATTTTCCAGATGAGTGACCGGAGTAATGTTTTTGAAGTAGCTATATAATATTATGGCCCGTTATGACTTAACGTGCATAGATGGTGCATCTAAGGATGAAAACTTCCAGACTTGCTTTGGATGTTGGAACTCACCAAAAATTTTTTTGATTAGTAAACAGGTTAAATGTTTTTGGAGCAGGTCTATTTCCAAGAACCTTTGAGTCCTACTTAAACCAAACTTGCATGGATATTGATCTTGGGGTGTACACTAACTAGAAAAAAATATATGAGATTTGCCTTACTTATAGATAACATTCATCGAGGTGAGCTTCGTAATCTTTGATTACCTATGTTTGATTGGTATTTTACATTAATTTTTTCCAATTCTGGTTTGAAAGGTTTTAATATGAAAGAAATTTGTTATATAATAAATTTCCCAAAAATTTACTTTATGGTCCATTAAGTCAATTCTTTAAATCTAAGCCAAAATAAATTTTGATAAACAAATTCACTAACAAAAACACTACATTTTAAATCAATTCCATTTAACCATATTTTGTTGCACTCTTTACATCTGATATGCATTTTATTAAACACACAGTTTTACAAACTGTAGCTCACAATAACTCATTTAAAGTTTGTAAATCAGTTCGTCGTTTTGATATTTTTTATCATTTACGGCAATTTTTTTATATTTATTTTCTAGATTTCAAAAATATGATTATTTGCTTGTGTATCATATATATGAGAATAGTGGTGAAAACTATTCTGTGAATTGATTGTAAAATGTCCAAATAATGTCTGTAATTTGGTGATATACATAATGATTTGAACTACAAATAGTATCAAACATTTTCTGCAAGTTATTATTTTACTTCCCTACCCACAGGGGTCTTGATTTGAACAAACTTGAATGTATAAAACATGAGGATGCTTCCATATAAATATGATAATCATGGCTTTCCTATTTTACGAAGAAGATTGTAAAAGTTTGATTTAAGATACAGTAGTCGAAGTCCATTGATAATTACAAACAGTTTTTTGCGCTCCTGGCTGCAGTAAAAGAAGAAGGTATGGTTTTAGCTTTATTGTGCCCTAAAAATTTAATGTTTTCAAAAAGTTTTGAAACTGGCTTAAATATTAGTTGAGTATATGACTGTAATAAATCAGGAAAGAATATAGCATGATGGAGTACCATTCTGGATATATGACGTCGTTAATTTGATGCATTTCTCTATTTTAAACAGAAAAAGCCTCAAAATGACCCATTTCAAGGGTTATTTTCCTGAAGAAAATAGTGTCCACAGCCGTCGACCGCGTTAATTTTTAGATATGTTGTGTAAAATTCTTCGAAAAATCACATATCTCAAAATCTTTGTGGGCGATGCCTGTGGACAATATTATCTGAAAGAAAATTCCATTGAAAATTGATGTCTTCTGCAACTTTTTAAGAAAATACGGAAAAATGCACAAGTTTATGACGTCACAATTAGCATTTGGAAGGTCATGTGAGAAAAAAGATTTGTATGATCTTTCTGCATGGAATTTCAATAATTCAAAAAGCATGCGTTTTAATTTTTTATATCACTTTTATTTTTAAGAAAAACACAGGGCAAGATTTGTATTGAAACCGTACCTTGTTCTTTAAAAGTAAAACCATAGAACACAAAAATTCAAAAAGTGTTAGCAACATATTGTGAAATACTTATAGTCCAATACTTATGGTTAAAACACATAAAAGTATACTTGGCTTTATATCTTGAATTATTCCCTATTTATGTCAAAAACTAGCTCAAAATATATATTAAGAAGATGAAAGTATATTTTATAGTATATTTTCCTTCACGGGACAAACACTATAAGCAATTGAGGTCAATCAGAAACATTCTACTCATCGATTTTTTTCCTTATATTTTTTCATTTTTGATCAGCAATAATTCTAACATTTTTGTTATACTTCTGACCAAGAGCATGCGAGTCTTTAAAGTAGAACTGTGAAGAATAAATCACATCAGAACATGTTCTGTTGTTTCAGTAAAAATGAGATGGATTTACTTGAATTTTATAACAGTTGTTTAGTGTTTTTTCTCATTCATAAAATATTCAAAGGAAAGCAACATATCTGGATTGGTAAAATCCATTAAAAAGGAGAGATTTTAATAACAAATTTGTCAATAATTTAGTACCAAATTATTCAAATAGATCATTATTGATTAAATGATATTTATAAATATGAATAGAAGTCTTTTCATCATATAACTTGGATCTTTCAAAAATGTGTTGCACTCCTGACCATAGAAATATAGCTCTGAAACACAGACAGACCCTGTAATTTGATAGGTCTATTTGGTAAAAATGTTCTTTGTGTCTTTATTTTCCACAATAGACATCAGAGAATCATATACTCATGCTTGGGAACAAAGCATCAAATGTTGCACTCATAACATAATTGGATATGCTCAAATAGTTGACTCTTATTAATGCTGTTCGTGATTTATATAATATCTCTAAATTAGAAATGGTATATCACTTATTGTTATACACTTTGAAATTCTTATGACTTAATTGTCAATACAGATTTTTTCCTGTTACACTCCAGACATTATAACATTTTTTCAGCATCAGCCATGACCACAGCTTTGTCAAGCAAATGTTGCTTCAGTCTACATTTAAAGCTCAATACTGAAAATATTATCAGGCAGGAATGTCTTTCTTTCAAACATAAT